CGCCGAGTTTTTGATACTGCTCGCTCCACGACTGCAGCCGTCCTTTTTGGCACCTGAGGTCCTGGAGAGGTCGCCGTTTGTGGAATACCTAGGTCTTGATTACCTACGTCAGGAATTTCTACGTCATGATCCCCGGGTACTGGAATACTTAGGTCTGGAACGCTGGCTAGTTCGCTTAGGGAAGTGATGCGGTATCTTTTCTTATCAGGTCCAATAATATATATAATACCCATCTGTGTGTAGCACTTGGTGATGCCAAACCTCTCCCGTGCTGCCATAAATGCTGTGTGACGAGGTTTGGTCAAGAACTCGGAAACTGTGATGCCGGAACCTTTGAATGCAGTCTTTTTTAGCCAAATTTGGTGTTTTTCCTCCGGATATCGTAACTCCATAAGGATTGGGCGAGGACGGTTACCAACCCTAGCACGGCCCATGCGATGACACCGAACTATATCTCTAGATGAGAATGTTGACAGTTTTAGCTGATTACAGATGGACTCAACCAAAACGGAGGTGCAGTTTTCCTCTGGCAATTCAGGCACTCCATGGAATAATAGCATCTTCCTGCGGTCCCGCATATCCAAACTGTCAATCTGCTGTGAGAGCACACCAAGTTGATCCTGGAGACTCTTCAAGGAGGCCATGATAAAGGACTTAAATGTCGCGAAGTCCGCCGATAGTGTTGTGATTGTGCTCGAAGGAGCTGCTGCGGCAAGTTCTGCTTGATATGAATCCATGCGATCCATGAACAAGTTTTGAAATTTGGCTAAGGATTCTTGCATTGCCTCCATAATAAACAGGTACAGGTGTGATAAAGTGATAAATGACACTCACCGGGAGGTATTGTGGCTTAATTAATCATATAAATGCGGTTTATAAGTAAATATTTTATCCAAAAAATTAAATCAGCAAATTTATAACGTCTTTCCTTTTCGACACCTCCAGAAAAAAAAAATGTAATAAGCTATGTAATCATTATCTTTGTGGAAAAATAAACTATTATTATTATAAAAAAATAAAAAAATGTCACCCCCAGCGCCCCGTCGCCGTCAGGAATGGTGCCCCATAGGCTGGCAGCATTGCCACGTTGGATGGCAAGGCTGATCCGTCGACCAAGATAGCTGCCAGCCTTTTGATCACCAGTCAGCTCAGTGAGCCTCTATGACAGTTCCTTAAAAAGAGAGAACGAGCGCTTGGTGCCCATGGGACCATAGTCTCAAAACCAAACGGCACAAATGAATAATTAACAAGGGCAACTGTCAATAATTGACAGTTGCCCTTGAAAAAGCCAAAAATGAGTACGAGTAAAAAATATTATGAATCTTGGGGCGAAAGCGCAAAAGCGTATTAAATATAAAGCCATGTGTAATTTTTAATATTTTTTCGGAGGACTGCTGAAATTTTGAAATTTGTTCATTAATAAAAATAGGAATTGCATCATCAAAAATCGGGGAACCTAGGAGACGGAGTGATTTAGTATCAAGATTCTTATATTAGGAGCTAAATCTGAAAATGGGTTTTAATATGTTGTAAATGTTCGGGTAAGAATTTTGATAATTAACTCGTATTTTGAATAACTTAAGTCAAGGCCAATACTTTTGAATTTATCAATAATCACGCGAAAATCTGAAAGGACGGTTGAAATGTTGAGCCCCATCTATGACGAATAACACCTTGCAGCTGAACTTCAGTATGTCGAGCGAGTACTGATGGATAAAAATTCTGAATGTACCACGTCGCCATCACAATCGCTCCAAATCTAACACAGTCGACCGACAACCTGCTATACAACCTTACATGAAAGGAGTCACTGACAAGATTTGGAGGATTCTGAAGCGTGCTTTGATCAATACTTACTTCAAGCCTCCGAAGATCAACCAGTTTCTACGACCTGTCAAGCGCATAATACCCTTTCAAGTTGCTGGTGTCTACAAACTTGAATGCGACTGTGGGCTCCTACATCGGGCAAACAAAGAGGAGTATTGGGACTCGGGTAAAAGAACATGTTGCAGATACATGCATACATTTCCTTAGTTTTTCAAGAATGTCAGATATGTGAGAGATAGATCAAAATGTAATGTGTGTACTACACATTAAATTTTGATCTATCCCTAACAACATAATATCTTGATGACGGAACTATCGCTGGCGATATTTCAACCGTTCTTTCAGATTTTCACGTGATTATTGATAAATTCAAAAGTAACCTAACCTAATAAGTAACCTAACTAATAGCCTTGACTTAAATTATTCAAAATGCGTGCCTCATCAACATAAGAATTTCTAGCCTTACAGACATCCGAGGGATACTGATCCCTCGGATGTCTGTAAGGCTCTTGGTCTATTACGAATTTCTTCGAATGACCATGCGTTTAAAAAACAGCCCTTCTACATTCCTAAGAGTCGTGGATAACTTCCTTGGAAGCCTCCAAAATGAAATCTGTGTTGTCATTTTAAACGATAACGTCGTGCTTGGGACCTAGAAAAAGTATTCCAGAAATTAGGCGAGTCCAAAATTAAAATACAAATGGATAATTCGGTATTCCTCAAGTTAGAAAGTAACGATTTAGACCATCTCATAACAAGAGAAGTTATAAAACTGAACCCAAAAATATGCAATTCCAGAAACATCAAACAGATTGAACAATTTAAAAGACTAGTTGGATATTATCGTTTTATTCTCGAGTTTGCTTCTATACCCAAGCCATTGACTCAATGTTTAAAAAAGAGTAAAGACTCTGTCTTGTAGCCTCTAGCCTCTGCAAGTAGCCCAAAATCTGAGTGGCGTGCATTTGGAGAGGCCTATGTCCAACAGTGGAGTAAGATAAGCCGTTGATGATGATGATGATGAAAGACTCTGTCTACGTAACTGTATTTGAAAAATGCAAGACACTCCTGACTATCATCCCTATCTTACAGTATCCCGACTTCCACCGAGATTTCTTACTGACAACATATGCCTCGAACTTTGCTATAGGAACTCTTCTGTCTCAGGGATCTGTAGGGTTAGATATCGAATTCGCATTACGGACTCACAACGATAGTGAAATCAATTACAGTACCATCGAAAATGAACTTTTAGCTATCGTATGGGCTACAAAGAATTTTACGCCTTATTTAATCGGTTGCATATTAAATTTCTTTTCATACAACTAACCATTCGAATGGATGTTGATTCTGAGGGAACCGAATACGTTTCCCTACTATCCCTTAACAAAAGCTTTACAATGCTTACTTTGGAGCTAGGCTAGTTGATGTGTGTGTTAGATATATTTAAATGTTTAATTGAATTTATCGCTTGGGATCCCGAACCTCTCTTAAGGATAAAACCAAGAAATAAGTATGAGGATTGTTGCCTCACAATAGATTTATAATCGTATATCGTTTGCACGTATGTCAATCGGAACATTTTTTTTAAACGGGACGCGATGACACACTTGACAAATTACACTACTTACTATTATATAGGTGAAAGTTTGTGAGTGTGTATGTTTGTTACTTTTTCACGTCTAAACGATTGGAGATTTTAATGAAATTTGATATGAAGTTAGCTGACACCCTAAATTAACACATAAGCTACGTTTAACTGCGGGAAAATATCCCTTATAAACCGCGGGTAATACTGCGGGGCACAGCTAGTTATATATAATCCCAGACACATCTAGCTCGGCCCACATAGCATTTTCAGTTTTGACCTCATCATCATCACCAGCCTTTTAATGTCCCCACTGCTGGGGCACAGGCCGTCCCTATGGATGGAATGGGGGCTTGGGTCATGACCCACCACGCGGGCTCAGTGCGGATTGGTGGGTGCTAACGAATGCAGATGCAGACGGGACCAATGGCTTAACGTGCCTTTCGAAGCACGGAGGAGCTGGAGATAGTAACTTTTTGGTCACCCATCCAATGACCGACCACCACGCGCTAACCACTTGCGCCATCGAACTCCTCTTTGGATTCTGGTTTTGACCTTTATGATTTTAACGGTCTCTAGCTAAAAATGTATGTAAAATTGAGCAGAAAGAAAAGTTTACTAGAAAAAAATCCACGCGGACCAGGCAGCGGACGGGACTCGAACCCGCACCCTTCGCAGTCCGGGCCAATGCACAAACCATTATTTATTGTGTGTGCGGGTTCGAGTCCCGTCCGCTGCCTGGTCCGCGTGGATTTTTTTCTAGTAAACTTTTCTTTAGATTTACACGAAACAGATGTTTAATAAATCAACTTCTAGACTACGTAAAAACTTTTGCTCAATTTTACATACATTTTTAGCTAGAGACCGTTAAAATCATAAAGGTCAAAACCAGAATCCAAAGAGGAGTTCGATGGCGCAAGTGGTTAGCGCGTGGTGGTCGGTCATTGGATGGGTGACCAAAAAGTTACTATCTCCAGCTCCTCCGTGCTTCGGAAGGCACGTTAAGCCATGCGTGGATTTTTTTTCTAGTAAACTTTTCTTTAGATTTAAACATCTAGCAGTTAAATCCTTAAAAATAAATAAAAACCTATCTGTTTCGTGTGTTTAAAAAATATATTACCTATTATTGCTAAAACCAACTTAATTATATTTTTGCTACAGATCGGATCATTGAAACTAAATAACATTAAGTGGTCGTAGAAACTTGTAACATTAAGTGGGCCGATAGACGTGTCTGAAATTGTAGTTATTGCATCAACTACGACTAAATTGTATTAAATTAGATAATAACATTGTCTAAAATGAATATTCATTGTTGGATTAAGCTTCGTTGCCGCTCAATAAGTGGCGTGTACCATATTTTACTTCGTGGTATAGTTTCGTTAAAGCAAAAATGAATAGAGCTTTTAACATGACATCTTCGGTTTTGTGACAAAAAGACAAACTATTTTGAATAGTAAGAACAAAAAATGGAGAAGACAGTCAGCCTTAACATAGCACTATTTCAGCTCCGAGCTTGCCATTTTGAACCTTTAAAAATATCAAATCATACCTAACAAATAATGGGAATGAAATGAAACTAATATTAAACTTGCTTCTTATTTATTTAGACATGTCAAAGAATGAAATTTCGCTTGTTTTGAAGTGATCCTTCTGAATAACACGATATACATTCTTGTGAAATTGTGTAGTTTTGAAGATCATTGGTCAGCTGTATATCGGGTTATAAACTGAAACAAAGAACATAAGAAGATATAAGAAAAAAATATTAATTTCAATTTCAACTTCATTGACGGCGACGACCTCTGCGGCCGTTTGTTTTGTACGCCGGGTTTCATGGTGTCGCCGACTCGAGAGGTCCTGGGTTCGAATCCCGGTGGGTGCAGATATTTGTGTGATGAATACGAGCATTTGTACTCCAGTCATGGATGTTTGATATATATATCTATATAAATAAACTTAAATAAGTACAGTATAGTATCCCATAACACAAGCCTTACAGTGCTTACTTTGTGGCTAGGCTAATTGGTGTGATTGTTAGAAATATTTATTATCATTATTAATATTATTATTTATAACTACGAACTAATTTCTCTAAATCCCTTTGACACTGAACATCATTTAAATCACATATCTTATTATATATTATCTATCACTTAATGGGTTTAAGTGATAGATAACGATGATGTGAGAAGATATGTGATCTAAATGATGTATAGTATTAATAGGATTTATAGCTGTGGTGCGTAATGAAGCAAGACTTGACAGTCCACAACAACAGATGGCGCTACTGACGCCGCACTCAATAAAGTATGGAAGCCTACATCGCGCAAGATAAAATTGAAAGTAAACAATTAATATATACTATATATAAACGACCAACAGCAGTCGGACTGCGGCCCTGCGGCCTTATTTGTGTGCTGACCACAAAAGTTTGTTCCCTTGTTATAGTATCAAGAGAATTAGGTACATTAGAATGCATTTATCATGTACTGTGCTTCTTACGACAAAACACTAGTTATAACTTGTCGAGAATTTAATATCATTATTTTATAATAAATTGATAACAACATACCTATCGGAAGGACGGCGTAGAAAATTTTCTTTCTACGACGATGCTGTAAAACAAGAAGATAAACATTAGCTAAAATAGAAGATGATATATGAATCTGATAAAGAAGCAAATAACTTTAATCGAAATCGATATAGGAGAGCTTATGATGTAATTCCATTGTAAAAAATCTTTCTTTTATTATGTGCAACGGTCTCAACTTAGCGTTTTTAGAAAAATAAGTAAGACAATACCCACCGGGGAAAATGTTTGCGAGAGATTTAACAACATCTCCAACGCTGCCTATGAGGGTAGACACTACTTTAAGGACTTCTGCAAAAGAAAAAAAGAATCTCAATTAGAATGTTATATTAAAAAAAAAATACTGACTTATTTATGAATACTCTCCATCCAAAAATTGTCTTGAAGATATTATCGCTTTTAGTTTAAGACGTCCTATTGAAGCTCTTTTACACATGTATTTACAATAGGGTACATAATGTATTGTATTATGTTGTATTAATAATACTAAACTTATATGTGTGTAGTTTAAGTATGTATATAATTATCATATATTTATATTATATCTATGTGTAAGTATATTAGATATTATTAAATATTTTCTTTCTTGCTTCCTTTTGTTTACTAACACCGCCGATTCCAGTTCCTTCCGATCTTCTCCATCCAAAGGTTGGGAAGAAATCGGATTTAGTGATAAGACTGTCTATTGAAGCACTATATTTACACAACATGTATTTACTCCATTTCTGTATTGCACTGTACTATACTATACTATACCATAGTATTTTCAACAAAATATTATATATTCTTTAGCATTATAACTCGTAGATAAATCAGACACACACACATATACAGAGTTCACAAAAGGCCATCATCATCATCATAGCCTTTTAAATCCCCACTTCTGGAGCACAGGTTTTCCCAATAGATTGAATAGGGAGATTGGGCCAGGACAAACCACGAGGGCCCAGTGTGGATAAGTGGGTACTGAAGACTGCAGATGCAGCCGGGACCAACGGCTTCCAAACACGAGGCAGCTCGAGATAGTAAATTTTTGGTCGCCATTCAATGACCGACCATTTTGAAAGTTGCTTAACTTCATGATCGCAGTCCAACGCACTAAGCACTTGCACCATCTAGCTCCTTACAAAAGGTCATCTTTCTATAAACAATAAATACCCCAGTGCACTTCATAGGGAGCGGACCCGCCCCCCATGACAACGGCTAACCAGAGCCGAGGTCCGAGTCTCAGAGACGCCCTCTAGTTGAGCCGACCCCCTCAGGTTCGAGTGGTCTAGAGGCTCCAGACGGAGAATAGACTCCCCCCGTGGGAAGATGCCATCCGCCTTGAATACCTCTAGAGGCACTCGCTAATTCTCGGCTTGAGGTCCCCTTAGGATCTTGCCGTCCCCAAACCCGGTGACGCTGTAAAGGTCATCTGCGACCAACAGCATATAAAAAAAAACAGGGAGCGGTTTTACCGAGTTCATACCATATGCGGTGCACGTGGCCTGTGTTAGACTATGGGCTGTATTTTCAAATCAGTAATAACCTCTATTCATGAATTAATGCTAAGAATTATATTTAAAAATCATATCTTGCACCAAAACAGCAAGGAATCCAAATGGCGACGTAATACATTGTCTCGCACATACATTTTCAATTGATTTCTGTTGTTGCAACAAAATATTTGATTAGTTTTGTATGCTGGTATCGTACCAACGGAGTAAAATATCACATTCTTTCCCTTTCAAACATATTCCTTACTACACCGTGCGAGAGGGACGAAAATATCTCTGGTCGAAAATTAAGATTGGTTTCTTGAATTGCGCGAGTTATATCAAACACGCGAGTTGTATAAATTAATGAATGACGCTTTGGACGTTTAAACTAATTATGTACTCTCTGAGTCGCATTAATTTCTAGCTTACCTCCGACTACCGAACCTGCAACAAGTAAAATAACAGCATAAGTATTAAATTCTAATAATTAATTAATGTTCTTGCAAAAAAGGTGCCATCCAATAATAGCAATGCCTAGGATATGACTGCTCGCCTGTACGAGGCTACGAGGGACCCAAGATCTGGTAGCTTTTTTGCTCAACGAATTAGTTTGGCGATACAGCGAGGCAACGCTGGCTGTCTTCTGGGGACCGTGCCGCGTACAGACGAACTCAATGAAATATTTAATTTGTAAATATTGTTCTACCTTTTGTTGACATTACTAAGGGAAATCATTTCTATTTTAAATTACCTTGTGATATGTAACGTTTATAAACAATAAATGTTTAGTAATTCTTTTAGTAAATATTCCGACTGACTGTTTTACAACGAAGATTACAACGAAGAAATAATAGCAATACAGAGTAGTTTTGTCCATTATTATGTTTTAAGTATATCCATCGTCTAAAAGTTGTAAATTGGTAGCAGAAAGAGGTGAATTACACAATTCAAGAGCGTAATTTTACAATTATCAATGTAAATAAAAAATATAATCAACTGGACCATTTACTTTCTGATTTGAATGAAGCAAATAAACGAATCAGTAAATTAATTGGCATCGCTGAATACTCGATTGTTATGTATGGTAAATTCTGTACACAAACTTACCAAGAGCTTTTCCAAGTGCAGAACCTAAACTGGTTACGCTATCTGTAAATGTAACAAAAATATTTTAATAGGTTTGTAATAGGCTTTGTGACAGTATGAAAAATAAAGTAGTATCAATTTTTGTATAGGTAAATATATGCATTTAACATGAATTTTGGAAGCGATTTCACTGTTCTGTCGAAAAAATTAGTTGATTATATTACAAAAAATCATGAAATACAAAATTTATTATTTCCAACTATTGTCACGTGACCGAAAAAGCCTACGATTGGCGGAGCCTAAAATGACATCTCCTGTTTGTAAACATGCTGCGTAAGTGACATTACTATGTACTGTTTGACGTTTTAATAAGAGCCGTGTGACGTCATCTGCCTTGTCGCGGCATATTTGAAGACAGGATTTGTATTTTCCGATTTTTTGATAATATATGCAACAGAATGATAAATATACACTTTTTATGGAGTCACTATATAAACGCTAATAAAAAACGTATGAACGTTTTCTAAAACTTGACTAATGACCTATTAGTTACTCAATCGGGTGTAGCCCTAGAAGATAATTATGGGACGCAAGACTTTTTCAATAATATTTCTATTGTTAAATCAATACTTTCACTTACTTGCGATGACTTCTCCGATGTTCTTGACAATACCAGCTACCTGTTCGACAACTGCACCCAACTGCTTGAGGAGTGCTGGAATGGGAAAAAAGCTATTGTTGATATCGATTTACATTGCATACAGAGCCTTAGCGCAGTAATTTTAACGTATGATGTACAAACGCACGAGTGACAATACGTACAAATTATTCTATTTTATGGCTTGTGATTGTGACAATGTCGAAAAATCTAATGAAACCTTTGCTAAAGAATGACAAAAGACATGATATTAGACCTGACATTAGCTGTCATAGGTCTTTCCTGAAATCTGAAGCTTGGTCGGGGTTGCCCAAACCGTGCTTCGATATTCCTTGTGTATTTTGAAAATTTGATATAAGCTATTAGAGAAATTGGAGAAATATGATAATCCAGCCCTTTACCTGCAACTGCAGCGCCTGAAACAACAGAAGATACATATCTTTAAATGATATATTCCAAAGTCCTAGAAAGGTTAATTCAGCATAAAATTACGGGATAACGAAACTACACATTGGGTCTAAGTGTCACCGCGCACGGGCCACACGTGATAGCCACAAACGCCGCCACGAGAAGCTAGAAGCGGCTACAAAGGTAGCTGAAGGGCGCGACAGCCACTCGTGGCCGGTGGTCGACACTTGCCGTCGGTGGCTGCTACTTTTTTTAACACATGCGTGCAGTATCATAATGGACTCTGACAAAAAAGGTATGAAGGTGGGGAATCGCGCGAGTGGTGTGGCGGCGTTTTGTGGTTGTGGTCGATGACCCGAGTGAGGCGACACTAAGTCGTTGTCTGAAAAGAATAGTAACTTGTTGTTTCCGTGGGAAGCTTTTATATACATACATAAAAAACCTGATTTCAACTTACCAGCGGAGTTGATAACGTTGCTAAGGGCGCCTGAAAAAGACATGCGTTTTTAAATTATTTTGAATTAATTACCATCTCTTAAGCTTAATCTTACTTAGAAGTAGGAGTTTTTCGGGAACTATAGTCAACTCTATTTCTATAGAGAAAAGACTATTTTATTCTTTATCTAAGTTTAAATCTATTTTATTAAAAAGTTTTTAAAATTTATGCAGAATCTAGAATCAAATTGATGAAGTCATATAGGACTGAGGCCACGCTAATGATTTCTGATTGTAAAAGGTTAGCCGCTTGTGCTAAACGCTTAATATTCAATACGTCTTTAGACCTCGAGTCCAGTACAAACGATACAATAAACGATTTCCTTTTAAGTCATCTTTTTTATTGGTATCAAAATTATCTTTATTCTTAAGGAACTCACCTCCAACAGCTGAAACAAACAATAAAAATATCAATAAAATTTACAACTTAAGAGTACATACTTTTCGACAACTCATCCTAAATAGGATCTTAAAAAAGTATTAAATTGATTTATTTAATGGGTGGTGTACGTGAAAACGTAAGAAATAAACTGGGATAAAAAAAAAACACATGAAGCTACATTCATCATCATCATCAGCCTATTAATGTCCCCACTGCTGGGGCACAGGCCTTCCCTATGGATGGAATAGGGAGATTGGGCCATGACCCACCACGCGGGCCCAGTGCGGATCGGTGGGTGCTAACGACTGCAAATGCAGCCGGGACCAACGGCTTAACGTGCCTTCCGAAGCACGGAGGAGCTCGAGATAGTAAATTTTTGGTCACCCATCCAATGACCGACCACTGCGAAAGTTGCTTAACATCAACGATCGCAGTCGAACGCGCTAGCCACCTGCGCCATCGAGCTCCTCAAAAGCTACATTAGGTAGGCCTAATTTGATTGACATGCAGCTCATTTTTTTTATTGTACCAGATATAGCTGGTAGGTATCTGGTACAATTATATCAACATAAAATTTGCGTAGCATGTTAATGTTCAACTACATTATAATTTACATTTCAAGCAAGAAATTAATGGCCAAATATTATTTCCGCAAAGTTTATTTCAAAATATTATTACGGTACAACGTCTAGTTGGCTTTATGTTGTAAAACTTAACAGCACGCATACGTTTCCTACATGTCACGCATACGTTTCCTACATGTCACGCATACGTTTCCTACATGTCACGCATACGTTTCCTACATGTCACGCATACGTTTCTTACATGTCACGCATACGTTTCTTACTTATCACGCATACGTTTCCTACATGTCAAGCATACGTTTCCTACATGTCACGCATACGTTTCCTACATGTCACGCATGCGTTTCTTACATGTCACGCATACGTTTCTTACATGTCACGCATACGTTTCCTACATGTCACGCATACGTTTCATACATATCACAGTGCTCGTGTACTGTACAGAATGTATCATTTTAATGCTACGGCCACATAACTCCAAAATTCATGTCGATATACAACAAGGCGCACTACCATTATTTGAAATGAACATCGCGTCGACGGGCTAGTACAATACATGGCGAATGACGACCCCCAAAAACGCTTTTTTGCACATATTTAATTGCTTTTTTGGTTTGGCTCTTAGAGATGGGAAATATTCTATCATTACACCAATCCATGATTTCCTTCTATACGTTATTAAATACTACATGCAGTTTTAATGAAGTTACGCTGTGCACAAAGCACGGGAAGTGTAGCCAACCGTACGAATTTTATCCCGTTATGACCCTTTGATGCGCCCTCAATGTACCAACAGCGAGGGGAAGATCTATTTGTCGTGAAAAACATTCGCAATAGGATGAATGTCTTCTCCAGACATATCGCTACGACGGAAATCTTCGCGATATCGCGATAGTGTAACCCGATCATAAGCAGCCCTTGGATATACTTACATGCGATGACGTCGCCGAGGTTTTTCACGATGCCAAGGGCCTGGTTAACGAGAGCGAGCACCTGGGTGAGGAGTGCTGAAAACAGACGGAATTTATTGTTTGAACATCATCACCGGTCTATCAATGTTCCCACTGCTGGGGTACAAGTACCTTCTTTATGGATGCGAGATCGAATCATGATAACCACGTGGGTACTGGTGGGTGATAATGATTGCAGATGCAGTTGGGACCAACGGCTTAACGTGCCATCCGACGCTCGGGATTTTTTTCCGTGGAGCGCTTGTTTTCGACGTAAAATCTACAGAAATGAAATTTGTGATTCATATACTTTAAAACAGCAAAACATCTGATTTCCAAAAGATGGATATGATAATAAAGGAATTTGAATGCCGGCAACAAAGACATATTTGACTTTTAGTAAACGGATAATAATATACATGTTTAAGTATAAAAAGAATAATCTTAAATGCATCTCACCCCCAACTGTATCACCTGTAACAAAAGCAAATAGTAAAAATTTAAAGGGTATCCTATTGAGTTGAGTATAATGAATATAGAAGATGCAGGTCAAGGCGACTGTAAAATCCAAACTAATATTATAAATTCGAAAGTATGTCTGTCTGTAACCTCTTCACACTTAAACTACTGAACATGGGGACGGAACGATTACTAAGCTGTCTGAAAGAAAGCCCGCCCGCCGTTTCTTGCTTGATCTCCACATCAAGATGCTTTTACCATGACCTTTTAAAACGTTGATTTCGAAACAATCCTAGAAAAGTGGAATTAATGCTCGACGACCGACGAATGGAATGTACGCCAGGATTCATGATGTCGCCAACTCGAGAGGTCCGCGGGTTCGAATCCCAGTGGCGCCAGATGTTTGTGTGATGAATACGAGCATTTGTACTCCAGTCGTGGATGTTTAATATGTATTTTCTATATAATTTGTAGAATCTTTTGTATTGAAAGGATTTTGTAGAATCGTTTAATTCGGTATGACCATTGACACGCACTTAAACTGGAAGTCCCACGTAGAATCCATTAAATGTAAGCTTGCTAAGTTCACATATGCTCTATATCAATTAAAACAATGTACAAATACAGACACGGCGTTATCTGCGTATTATGCATATGCGTATTCATGGCTAAGGTACGGAATAATAGACAATACGGAAAGCTGCAGACCATATTTTATAAAATACAAAATCCTGACTTTACCATCCATATATGTCGTAGACATATCACTATTCGTACATCAAAATTTAGACGTATTTAAAAAAGTTGACGAAACACATAATATAAATACACGGCACAAAAGTCGATTATATTTACCACCATCTCGATTGAGAAAACTTAGTAGCAGTCCATATAACTTCTCTTAAACGACTGGACCGATTTTGATGAAATTTTTTGTGTGTGTTCAAGGGGATCTGAGAATGGTTTAGATTCACAATTTTGTCCGCTGGACAACCCCTATTTTTTTAGGGCGGTACGAAGTTCGCTGGGTCAGCTAGTATGTGTATAAAAATTTATAATAAATTACCCGCTGACATAAAAAACGAAAAACATTTTAACCAATTTAGGACAAAATTGAAAATATATTTATTAGATAAATGCTTTTACACCATATATGAATACTTTTCAACAAAATAATATTAATGAGGCGATCTTTAAAATACAAACCTAGATTATTATAATCATGTTTATTGACATATTATTTGATTTTTATTGACATATTTACTAATTTTAATTATTGACAAATTTAATTTTATAAACGAATATCCATAATAATAATTACAAAATTAAACTAGTACTGTAAATAAGATCAATTGAGTGAGTTATAAAATTAATGAAATCAGATGACATTTATGCATGCTTTGAGAAAAAAAAGTTGTTTAATAAAAATTAGGTTCTTCATATACTTAGATAATTGTTTATTTGTTAAATTCTCTTTTGTAATTTTTATCTATATTGCGATACCCTGACAAGGTTCATGTTAGGTACTTTATGCATTATGTAACTTGTAACCATTCATGTAACCACATGAGTGCAATAAATTGAATTGAATTGAATTGAATCGAATTGAATAAACTTACTTATATATGTAGCAATATATGTATTCAATCCGTACCCTAGTATCCCATAACACAAGACTACGGTGCTTACTTTGGGGCTAGGCTAATTCGTGTTTAAAAAAAATGCTTTACTTGTATTAAAAAAATAATGGTGCTTCATGAAAGAAACAATCATCTAAGGGATTCTGAGATGGTGAAAAGAAAAGCAACTCTTGATAGTAATGACAGACACATTATCAAGCAAGTAAAAAAAATTACAATTTCCTCGATCCGTAGTGGATATTATGTCAGTCGCTATAAAAATACGAAGTCAAACTCAAAATTATTTATTCAGTGTAAGTTGTTACAAGCAGTCATGTCTAGAAGCTGCGCCATCGGTTTGTAAATCGGCGGCGGGAGACCTAATCCTGAGAAGAACTGGCAAAGAAACTCTGCAAGTGCTGTTTTATTTTTTCCCTTTTCATTATTATTTACTCTTTTCATCAATTTGAAAAATGACTTTAGACATGATTCCTGAAGTCAACTTTCATTACATAATGTGAAATATACATTAATTGTTCACCTGCATTTTATATAATATTTACATTTTATAACTGTATCATACAATATAAATACTAATCAGTTGGAGAAATAGGACAGAGATAACTGATTTGGCATATGAGTGTTTGTATAATAAATAAGTTACTTACCAACGGCACCGAGTACGCTCTTCAAAGCGCTAGTAATGCTTTGGATTAATGAATCTGATGAAAGGAAAAACATTATGTATAAGTTTAATAAAAACATATTCTAGTAGATTTTTGGAAAATTGCTACGGCGCAGGCATCCTAGTCTACTCGAGCCCCTTTATAAATAAACACAGAATAAGCTAGGAATAGTTAATCCATGTTTTGTCTCCGTTAATTGAATGACGAATAGCATTTGAGTGACATGAACAAAACACTGCGTAACTAGTCTAACTAAGCTTTGTTAACTCTGGGTAACTAGTCTAACTAAGCTTGGTTAACACTGGGTAACTAGTCTAACTAAGCTTGGTTAACACTGGGTAACTAGTCTAACTAAGCTTTGTTAACACTGGGTAACTAGCCTATTCCTTGTTCGTAAATAAGGGGGAAGAAGTTTGCTTGGGTCTATAAATAAATGAGAGATACGATTTCATTAATGTGTACGTTTTTAGAAACAAATAGAATAATTTGTTTTTCAAAACAGATTTTAAACTAGGACCTTTTTTGCTGGTGATTAAATATTTCTTAAACCTGATCACAACAAATATCATCAGTTATTTCATGGACATTAAAAATATAAAAAATAAACTTACCGGTCACCCCGGTAATACTGTTCACCACGCCTGAAAAAGGAATAACTTAAGTAAATCTAGAAATTTCGTTAACTTTTCATAATAAACAATTTGATACAACTGCAAATTAGAATCAATAAGGCTTTAAAATAAATGGTTTATAGTAACAATATACTTCGAATTAAGGCTTTGATTTTTGATTGTTCGATTCAAAATATTATGTATAATCAATGAAAATACTTAAAGTATTTTACATAAATTATACTTCTGTGATTCGCTCGAGAGATTACACTTAATTCACTTGTAGTAGCACGCATTATGTGCTGCCATCGCGATGCATCTCGGGCGAATCACATCGTATAAGTCGAACGTCACTTACAGGTAAGTACGTATGACTTTCAATTATATTTCTTTGATTCGCCCTTCGAGATTACACTTAATTCACTTGTAGTAGCACGCATTATGTGCTGCCATCGTGTACGATCACGACACATCGAATAATATAAGTCGAAAGTAACTTACAGGTAAGTTCGTTTGACTTAAAATTTTGTCGTAGGTAACCAATAATTTAAAACCCTAAATAAAGAGGACAAGACCGGTGAACTTGAATTCGCCTGTAATCTCAACAATAACCTCTATCGTTACCATATTATATTTCAAACAGTCTATACAAATTCTTCTCAATCCGATATAATTCAGTTGTGGTCAATATTATATAATTACCTCCGACTGCGTTACCTAAAACAAAAATAAATGCATTAATATTTTATATTTTTTAGCATGCTATCCTTCATTACAGTGTTAACCACAGGTTTACTAGTTGTCGGAAAATGATAAAATAACAAGTTTGTATTACAAAACTTTTAAATGTGAAACTATTCACGTCATATTAAATAAAAAAAATGTGACACAATGAAGTACCTCGACCAGGGTTCGACACCAGGCCTACTGGTTCTTTTATAAAGCATTATAGCTGCCACTACGACAATTAAACATGAAGTATCATGGAGTTTACATTATGTATGTATGTGTAATGTATTCTATTTTTTCATGAACTTCATGAGTAGCAGTACTTAAATAGGCTTAGGATAGAGGACTTTAACGCACATAATATATTTATTTAAACAAACTTTATTGACACAGTATATAGAGTAAGATACAAATATTATAATCTTATCAAGTACTATTATGAACAAAACAAACTTCTTTCGAATTTTGGATATACATATTGATTCCAATTCACCCAAATCCATGATGCTGACGTAATCACTATCTCTCGAATTGTAGGTAACCCACAATGTCAAATGCCTTACAGCTTAAGAATGGCTAGAAGAATTTCGACGCGGCCGTCAGGGCCGCGGTAGTATTATTGGTCAGTGCATTTGCCCGGATAGCGAAGGGTGCTGGTTCGAGTCCCGTCTGCTGCCTGGTCCGCGTGGAATTTTTTCTAGTTATATTTTCTTTAGATTTAGACATCAAGCAGTTAAATGCTTAAAAAATAAAAAAATAACCTGTGGTTTTTTCTAGTTTCATTTTCTTTAGATTTTTTTAGCATTTACATATTTATAAATAACTAAATGTAATGGTTGGCTGTAATTAAGTCACTTACCAGTAGCATTGACAACTCCGCCTACGGCGCCAACTACATCGTTGATGAAAGAAAACAAATTGAGTTCAATATTAAAATAGTAAGTTATTGTCAAAGAAGTCTTTTAAATTATTAAGCTACACAATGAAATATCTCGACCAGGGATCGAAACCAGGACGCCTACTCTATTTCAAAGAAAAACGAAATTTTGTTCGAAATTTCGCACGTTCCTTACATTGTTTCTTTTTCATTTCAAAAATTCGTTCGTCCAAAAAAGCTTTTAACAATTTTATTCTCCAAGCCTACTGTATGTAATTCACAAAACTTTCCAACGAAAAGTTGAATTTGACAAATAAAATTGTTCGAAATTTCAGCCTCAATTTGACGAAATGTAAAGTCTTACTTTTTCGTTTTGGGCTTATGTGCTTGTTCGAAAATGAAATAGAGAAGAGTTACTGGCGAAATTTCGTTTAAAATTCGTTCGTTGCCGAGATTTCGTTTCGGAGAAAGAGAGTATAGTACTAATAAAATTCATTACCGCCGCTACTATGACAATTGAACATCAAATAACATAAAGTTTATACGTACATAATAATTGAAAATTTAAAGAACCAACTATGCCCAAAAGTAGTTATATATTTAGCTAAACATTCAACAAACACATTTTTTTTTTTGGTTTTTAGATAATTTTTTTAGACTTTCCAATGCTTTTAAAATTTTCAATTTATATCACAGTTTTGGGTATCTTGAGTGAGTAACTTACCGGTAGAGTTGACTACGCCACCTACGGCACCAACTACATCGTTGATAAAAAGGAAAACATGTTTAGTAATACAATAATAAGGTTTTATCAAAAATGTCTTTTGGCGAATCCTATCACGTCATATCATTTAGTTTCAAAGTCTTCTCTCTGTCTGTACAAGGATTCGGAACCAGGACTTTTGGTGCCTAAAGCGTTACGGTAAGGTAGGGCATTGCGTTCCTAGCGAATGAGCGGCCATTTGGAGACGAGTGCTGCGAACACACCCGCATTAGGTATCGCAAGCGTCTATATGGTGGCCGCTTACCATCAAGCGGGCCATAAAGCTCGTCTACAATCCTTGCAATATAAAAAAAAAACACCGCTGCTCCGACAACTAGAGGTCTACCTTATTTCAAAGATAAATGAAATTTCGCAGGTTCCTTACTCTGTTTCTTTTTGTTTCTAAAATTCATTCGTCCGAGTACAGTTTGACAATTAAATTCTCCAAGTCTACTCTAATTCACACCACTTTCGAACGTAAAGTTGAATTTGACAGATAATTTATTGTTCGTAATCAAAATTGACGAAATGAACTGTGACCTTTTCATTTTCGTGTCGTAATTTTTCCTCGAATTCATGTAAATTTAACAAATATGCCTTATTTTTATTATTTATTGTATTTCCAATACTTCAAAGTATTAAACGACAAATTTAGGTTGACATACAATCGATTGTATCAACTCTACAAATTAGTCTGTTAACACTGTCCAAGAAGTTTCTTTCAATTTCATCAAACAATTTGTCGTAAAGTGATATTGTTCAGGTCAAAAACGTAATAGTGGAGATAAAAGGAACTCACAAACATAATTCATTCTATTCGTTCACGGAAATTGTTTGTGATTCCGAAGTTTGTGTACATGTTCGAAAATAAATAGAGCAGAGTAACTGGACAATTTCGTTTAAAATTCGTTCGTTGCCGAAATTGCTACTACGCTGCTACTACGACAATTGAACATCAAGTACCATAAAGTTTTCATGTACATCATAATTAATATAATAGATGAAAAATTTAAAACCACCGATGCCAAATACTTAACCTATGATTGTCTATCCGTTAGTTACTTACCGGTAGAGTTGACTACGCCGCCTAAAAAATAAGAACATTTAGTTTAATGTGTCAGGATTATGTAACTTTGTAGAGAACAATCGTGTATAATAATATAAGCATAATTTTTTGTGACGGTGTTAACAGTAAAAGGTAAACAATAACGTGTTCATAATTCTTACCAATCAGGTCTCCTAGTCCTGGTTCTGAAATGAAACATTCATTACTATTATTATCGAGAAACAAACGGCGCGACATTTTTTTAAAATGCTTCCAATGTCCTAGATCTATCAGTTTTTTACGCAAAGCAAATGTCAGAGCCGGAAACGATTATGCTCTTCCAAATCCTATGCGCTAATGCATCTAATTTAAAAATAATAAACCGTGAGATTCACTTTCGCTTCAATTCATTGCCGCTGCAGGGTGGTGCCAAAATTTAAAGAAAAATTTGAAAATTCTAGTTTCACATATTCAAAGCCGTATTCAGCGGCTGTCGGGCGACCAATAACGTGATAGTATTGTGGTACATTTAATACTAAAAATTGTGTACCACGATAAGAAGGTTCCTTAATCTACTATATAAAAATAAGTCGGGTTTTCCTTCCTGACGCTATAACTCCAGAACGCACGAACCGATTTCCACAGTTTTGCATTCGTTGGAAAGGTCTCGGGCTCCGTGAGGTTTATAGCAAAGAAAATTCAGGAAAAATTAAAAAAAAAATCTCCTTTTAATCACCAAACGAAATGTTACATAAAACGAAGCCATCTGGTGGCGAAACGGAGTTCGCCGGGTTTGCTAGTCTCTTATAATAATATCTCTTCTGATTAGCTAACGTGCTGTACTTACCAGGATGGCAAAGAGAAGGGCCGACCTGCAACAACAAAATGTTTTAACATTAGATCAGACTCCGCTACACCGTAGCACAGATATTACTTCCTCGTACAGTACCTATAGCAGTAAGCTGTTTGTGGTAAAGGAAGTGGCGTGGCGTTTAATAGGGATAAGCACAGTGGTCTATACTAATCAAGTTGCCTTTGTAATGAATTGTCAACTTTTTGTCTCTATGCATTAAGGTTGTAGTCAATTGTAGCTACTCTGATAATATGGATATTAATATTGGTGTACCACAAGGCTCAGTGCTATGCCCGGTGCTGTTTTAACAATACCTTCTTCGTACAATACCTTTAGCAATGAGCTGTTTGTGGTACATTTGAGAGGAAGGGAGTTTCCGTTTGAACTGAAGCACTTATATGGGTAAAAAGTCTCTCTCACCCTTACAAACAATAACAGGGAAATAAGACGTCAGAGAAATAAGATAATATTTTTTTGATACTAAAATGTGTTTTAATTTTCTGTTTAGCATTTTTAGCGTGCTAAATATTTGATTTTCTTAAGGTAAATTATTAATAGTTGTTGGAATAATGAATAATAATTACATACTGCATTATCTCCTGCAACACCATAAGCAGTCGATGTGCTTTGGTTTCTAGTTTTTAACGTTTTCGATTTTCCAAATTGGTCACAATATATTAAATGCTCCAAAAATGCATCAAAAATATATAAAAAAAACAACTAACTATTTGCCAAAAAACGAGCTAACGCGTCAATATTAAGTTGAATAAAATCGTTCAATGCATTCGCTGGACCTAAAGCTGTAAAATACTTAATTTATAATATGGAGAGCCCTGTGACTGCAAAAACTTTTGGCACTGTTTTTAGAATATTTAGTTGATTTTTTGGCAGGGCAGTAAGGTTTTTTTTATTGCAAAATACATTAATGCAATGATAGATTTAAAAAGCGTTATATTTACCAAGGCCAGGATAAGGAAACACGTAGCGAATTTCATCTTGAATGTTTCTTTTACTTCTCCGAAGATAGAATGATTACTTGTGGTGTTGAAGCCTTTTTATATGCCCGAAATTATATTTGTACAGATGAAAAATTCAAGTTTCAATATTGGCCCAGTTTGTGTTTACCAACTGTCTATCTTTATTTTTCGAGGGGTCAAAACAACAAACAGTATACCTATTTAATATTTTATATTTTCAAATAATATAATTTTGATAATATTACCACCAAAAAAGATTTTTGTTTAAAATTAATTCGACCATGTACAAGCTAAGAACGAAGACCAATAGCACAGTTCTTCAACCTTCACAGTTGATGGACCCCCTAAGTGCCTTATCACACTGACGGATTGTGAGCGTTTTCCAAAAGGAGTGGGTGCGCAGCGAAGGCGTCACGGACGCGCAGCGAAGGCGTATACGAAGCACATTTATTTATTTTATGAAAATAACAGCATTAATTTTCACATAAAAAATATAACTTTAAGTTTAAACAATTGCCTAAGTAATAGGCTATTGTACAGTATGAAAATAATATTCCAATTGTTGGCATCTGCGTTTAATATAAAAATTAGTAGCAATTTAATTATTCAAAAAAAAAAATTAATTACTTTTCTATAAAATCATTAAAAACAATGATTTTTTTGCTCCATGGTCACGTGACCGAAAACGCCTGGGATTGGTCAAAACTAAATTGACGTCACACGCTAGTTAGTCATGTTCCGGCCAAAGTGACATAACATTGTATCGCTTGACGTTTTAATGACAGTCATATGATGTCACACACTAGTAGACATAATGTCCAGAGGAACGTTTTCGCGGCAACTTGAAAATTGAATTTTTAATTTAGATTTTTTACTGAATTACACAATAGAATAAAAAAAATCACTTTGTATGGACTCTATAAACATTAGTAAATGACGTGAGATCGTTTTCTAAAACTTGTCAAATAACCTATTTCCACTATTATTTATCTCACATAGTGTCTAATAAACATGAGAGAAAAAAGAAACAATTTTTGACATTACGCTGAACATAAATAAAATAAAAAGAAATAAAAATGTTGTGCCTAAAACGAGTTACAAATTAGTTTTTCTGAATTTCAAAGAATTAAGATCAATGTGACTACATATTTTAGAGTTGTATGATTTCATACCTCGCACAATGTAGCGATTACTTGCATTATTAGTCCGACCCGCCGGAATGCAAACACGTATCACGTGCTCGTAGAGTTGCTCTTGGACATTTTAGCAAAATTTTTACTCAACAGAATCGACAAGACCATTTATAACAACTTTTCCGTTACCTGTGTGCGGCGTACGTTACACTCAGTAACATAATGGATTCCAAGGAGGACACTGCTATTAGCTTTATAACTTCGAAGACGCAAGAAACGTACACTAATACAAATTTGGGAGGATTCGTTACTAAACTAATCGACTGATAGAGGGCGACCACTATATGCTCCTGAAGAGATGCTGAGACCACAAGCTCATCCCACCTTGTGTGAGAATCACACCAAAAAAGGACATACGTGGGAGCGCCTAGATCTTAACAAGAGGCAAGTAAAAAGATACTTCGAAGGATTATAGAAGGGCATTGTTCGGATTTATATAAAATCAACGGCACCATTGAGGTTTTGTCCAGTGATATAAGCAAACAATTGTCATCGGAGGATTATCATAATTACATTCTGATACTTAACAATCGTGAGTCATCTAAATTCAACAAGTGCAAACATAGACAAATAGATAAATATCAAAGACTATCTCGCATTCAGGAAAATCGAAACACACCTGTGGGAACCACAGATTCCGCGAATGCTACCCGAGCAGTTGTCAACTTATCTAAACAAAACTTAGACGAACCTACCTACTTTAAAAGTTTTGGAGAAAGGACTGAATTTTGCTGTAGCACCGCGCAGGATATCGTACGAAAAAATTATCTGTAACATGGAGGATTGCTTACTGAAAAACAACATGAGAAAGGAAGAGGCGCTGCGTCAAGACATTTCATCAGTGTTAAGGCGAAGTAAACCACCGAAATCAAACCTTCCTCGTGATGAATACCTTGCACTAAAGAACTTGTGAACTAAGCCAGAACTTACCACTTCCACTTACTTCCTTCGTGTAGATAAAGAAAAAATCTTCTTCGAAAATATCCAAATTTTGAATAGAGAAGATGGTTGGTATATACCACCAGCTTGGGAACCAAGACTTACTTATTTATACAACAGATTAAATCCTAACCCCGAGCACACACTGCAAGACCAACAGATACAATTAGTTCTTTTTCTTTGCATGATTTAACATAAGAAGGAGATAGAAAGCCTCTCTGAGTTTGTTTCGCCGTTTCTTCTCAGAAAGGTCTCCCAATTTTGGAACCGGTTGTAGTTTACGGTAGTTAGGGTCAAATAAATAACTCAAAATTATAAAAAAAAAAGTACTTTATTAACAAAATTAGCTAATAAATTCATACATAGACAATAAAGTTTTAAAAATCTTCCATTTAAATATCCGAACGCTCAATAAAACTTTCTTGAAGGTAGCTCGACGAAGTAAATAAAAAATCATTATTCTGACGATGCAGACCTGAAAAGGCTGCGAAACGTCAATAAATAAATAAATTTCGTGCATTAACCCGTTAAAACTAATTTTATTTATTTACTATGTGCTATTTTGCAAAAGAATCAAAAAACGTCCAAAACAATTTGTCTTTACCATAAAATGGCAAGAGCTACACTTAATTCAAAATAATATCTAATATATAAAATTTTCGTGTCACGGTGTGCGTTATTGAACTTCTCCGAAACGGCTCGACCCAATTCTTGTTGTTGTGCCTGATTTTTGTGAAATTTCAGTAGATCTGGGAATTGGACAACATTTATTTTTCATCCCCCTAAATTTTAAGGGTGGGTCCACCCTTAAATGTTTTTTTTATGACAAAATTGTTTGGTTTCATTTTTTATGATACATCGTACAAAAATACATACAACCCTAAATTTTCACCCTTCTACCACCAAACCCTATTTTTTATGGCGGTAGGAAGTTCGCTGGGACAGCTAGTAACGTATAAAAATATATACTTAAGACTATCGGTGTCACCAGGACCCTATTTCACTAAGTCGACAGTTGCCGCTGACATGTAAGCCAACGGTTTGTTGTCGGGTGATCCATTGATTGCATCAATTGTATTATTAAATATTCGTGTCGAATAATGCTTTTGCTTATGTGGAATTTTTCTTTGAACGCAAAATCAGTGATGTCGAAGGAGAAAACTCATATTTTCAAGCTTGCTCGGGGAGCCATTGCTAAGTAACAATAAAAACTCTATTTGTTTCTTAGGTTTTCACGCTTATCACGTGTAGTTTTATTTAATGAGTAAAAACTAAAAACCCCGTAACCCGTAAAAACTAGTTTTATTTAACAAAAACTCTACTTAATCTCATGTCAAGAATTTTTCAAATATGTCGACTTAAAATAATTACTCTTGTTTCACAACATAATTGTCATTGAAGTATGTATGATACGGACTATTGTTACAAAATGCCTGTCAATTCTCAACATTTTCACTTATCACCTGCCAGTAATATTACTATTAGTATTTTATATTAGTATTGACTTGGTGAAATAGGGTCCCATATATATAGAATTAAAGATGAAGTTGGGACTTCAGACTTATAGTAGCATTTAATTTTTTGAGTTCAGTGTAACTTTTAGCATTTGGCAAATATTGAAATTTCTAATGTAGGCGCTAAGACAGTTACTATTACAACTATTCAATTATAAAAAAATATGGGGGCGAGAATACTTCCTTGGGGTACTCCAAAATTTATAGCATGAAATTTACTAGACAATGCGGTAACGCTGATACATTATTTTCATTCCCGTAGATGGTAGACATCAACATCAAAATAAAACAAAAATTACAAATCGAACTACTAAAGTCCCAAAAAAAATACCAGAAAAATATAAAAGCTATAAGTAAAATATCTACTAAAAACTTTTATTTCTTTCTTATCATAATTTAAATTGCAAATCGACTGATTCATATGAAATTATTTTAATCATATTCTGGAGGACACGTTTTGTTTTTTTTTTTCTTCGCAATATAATAATTTGCATATTAAATTTATTACAATTTTCACGGTTACAAATTTTGTTACACCTGATTCAATATGAACTACAGACCAACTAATTGTTATTTGTTACCTACCAAAAAGGAATTAGATTATTGCTTAGGTTTTCACGCACACCACTCATTAAATAAAAGAAGTTTCAACGGTATAGATGCACTGATTGATTTAGTTATTGACGTTTCGCATCCTTTACAGGATCCGCCGTCTGAATAGGGATGATGACTATTATTTTTTTCTTCCTTTTTATCAGGTAAATTATCAAAAAATATTGGACACGTATTTTTTCTTTTTTCACATAATATAAACATTGCAGAGATATATTGATTTGAAAAGTCGCATGACGTCACGTTTGAGTACACAAGTGAAAAATCACTCAAAAGTGACGTCACGAGCCCCTACTCCCAAACTTTGACCCGCTATAACTTTGTCATTTTTTGGTTGATTGCCCAAAGAAAAAATAAGTGTCAATTATTTTTTGATCATCTAACTGACGGACTAAATAGAATTTCGTTTACTGTACCCCGTCATCACCCCTATTATGACAATTGTCATAATTCAGACTACGCAAGATTTAAAGCAAAGATAAAATAAAGCTTGTGACGATTAAACAAATAAAATATCTTTTCACCATCTATAGGGCGGAGAGCGAGGTGCGACGGTGAGACGCTTCGAGCCTTTGTATTTTTTTATTTATTTTTACTTAATTGCAAAAATTACAGCAAATGGCGGACATAATGCCCTAAAGCATTCTCTACCAGTCGACCAGTAACAGCGTGAGAATAATAATAATAATGCGGGGTGCAATAAAGACAAGTGTAAGATAAACCAGGGATATAATAATGTTTATTGACAAAATACATGATACACTTTATGTTTGATTCCCCTG